GAAATTCCTAGTGGAGTCCTGAAATTGGTTGTTTGCCCACAACTGTTGGCTTGCAATGGGGTTTTAAATCACAAATATTTCACTGATAGGATCACTGTCTGGTCACATAAAATCTATTGCTCTCTTGCTCAAGTCTCTGCTTAAGCCCCAAACAACCGGACTTCATGATTCCAGTGCATACTTGCCTCCCTGCATAGGTGACTTCTTTCTCCTTGTCTGTCCTCCTCCAATTTCTCTCCCCGCTACTTCCGTGTGCTACTAGTTTGCATGACTCATTTGAAAGTGAGCTTTGGCAGCTCGGTTTTCTTCTCTAATTTATGTGTTAGAGGTGAGCCAAAAATCACAGAGGTTACAGCTGTATACGCACACACACACACACACACACACACACTCACACACACAAACACATATTTTCTTACCAACATACACACATATATATATTTTTAAATGGGTTAACTGTGTTCAACTTTTTAATGCAGCACAGTTTATCCATAGATGTTCTTCAAAATTAAAGTTGAACACAAATTTTTAGTACTTGAGAATGTAATACAGTATAAAGCCTGTCTTTATTGTTACAAGCTTATAAATTTGAGATATTTTTTCTAGATAGAAAATTATGTAATAATTTTGATTATGAATTTTAAATTCACAATTGTAAATATAATTTTGCAAGGTCAATTGAAATGTATGCTTTTGCAAATTAATTTTCATTATTTATATGTCAAATTCTCCCACTTTGCCGAGTGTTTGTCATGATCAATATCACAATAAATATGAGAGTACTTAGAAATAATACACTAATAGTACATAGCTTCTGATTATCAAGTGTTCATTTAATGGGCAGGCACATTGTGGCCAATGCTGAATGAGTTACATACTGATCTTTAAAGCCTAAGGGCAGTATTATTATGTTATGGGTCGATTTTCAGATGGCAAAGTTGAGGCTCAATTGACTCAGTATCTGACTGAGTAATTTTTGGAAAGTCACAAAGTTTGCTGTTCAGAAAATTAAGATCAATCCAACTTTATCGTTTCACCAACCTATGGTAGTAAAAGATTCACCAAAGTTTAAATAACAACATCAGTAGCAGTTACTAACATTTATCGAATTATTTCTATGTACCAGGCCCTATCCTAAGTGCTAAGGAGTATTTATTACATTCTCACAACTATCTTATGAAGTAGGTGCTATTATGATAGCTGTTTTGCATTTGAGAAAAATATAATGCAGGAAAAATAAACAGGTGAAGTGTTACCACAAAGCTGAAAGCTATGGATGTTGCCCCAGAGGGGGAAGAACTAATTGCTTAGCATTTACTGTTTTCATGAATACATTCAGTTTACCCATTTGCTCTCTGAACTCATTATTTCTTGCAAGATGAGTTTTGACAAATTTACTTTTAATTTTTCTTAACTTTTCTTCATTTGGAATGTAATTCGCCATCATTTTGGCTAATCAGTAACAAATGAAAATAAAGAGAGTTGAAATGAAAAAACTGACAATTGGCTCCCTTGAGATTTCCAACAAATCATATTGATATATAGGCCTTTTGTATAACACAGGGTGTGTAGAAATCTCAGAAACTTTCAATTGTGTTATCATAGCAAAATATAAGAGAGTGTGTTCCACTCCTAATACAACAAAAGTACTGGACACTTTTTGGGACTGGGCAGTTAAACAAAGTGAATTGATTATACTGAATGGTCACATTCAATATAATCAAGTGCATTTATCTGCACTTGTAAGCACATTGAAGAGGTAAAAAGATCTATGGAAGACCAAGAACCAAATATCCCTGTTCCTACTACTAATAAGTGATTCACACTATATCAGTATTAATTTTTGATAAAATCATGTTGATTTTTGTATAGAGAAGATATTTTTCTTTAAGATTTCTGTGGAAATTTCCTGCATTGAGCCATCATAGGACCCTTTAAAATTAGAATTTGCATGTTGATGTTGGCTTGCTTATCCTGGATGATTCTAATGCTTTGAGATCAATAAAACTTATGTCAGACTTAAATTTACTCCTGTGTTCATAAAAACAAAAATATGATTACAAAAACAATAACGTTTAAGTTATGGCTTCTTAATACAAAGTTAAATTATTGATTAAAAATATTTCTAACTTCAGATTTTCAAGTTATGCATGATTGCCTGTAACTACTGCCCATTTATTTAATATATACAAAATAAAGAAAGATATTTTAGCAACAATCTATTTAAATTCTGGTTCAATATACATTGCATAACAAAGCATATATTTTATTTTATGTTTCAGTTTATATGGTTTTTAATTTAGAGATAAATTTTAAATTATTCATTAAATATTGTTTCTCTTTGTGAATTATATGAGAATATATTTTAAAAGTTTAAAAAAATGCTTACTTTTCCTGCTGTGCTCATGTTTCGGTTCTTTCTGCAGGCCAGGAGGTGGATGGATTCTGGCAGACCTTTTCCTGCTCGATTACATGAAACAGATATGTTGCACAGATATTTTATTTGCTTGAGCAACATCCAGTTCCACGCATGTGATCTGCTGTCTGTAAGCCACACCCACAAGTTTATTCTCAAACTATATCAAATCAGAGTGAAATGGGCCAGCCCTCAGACCTGGACTTTGTAATATGCCAATTACAGGTCACAGCTTGATTTCTTTAGTTAAATATTTGTCTCCATGTAAATTTAATCTCTCTAACACTTTTTTTCTGGATTCCACTTTTATTCTCTCTCAGTGCCCTATTTTCCATTTGTGTGCACTAAGCTGCAACTTCTAATCCTCATGCTGCAGTTAGAAGAAGGAGCAGTAAGGAAGCAGCATAAATGACATAGGACAGAGAGAAGTACAACCAGAGGAATGTGTTTGCCCCAGCACCGCCCTCCTCTTCATAGCAGAGAGGTCAGACACCAGTCATTTACAGAAAGGATGCTCATGACCCTGGCATTTCTGCTCTACTCAATACCCAGCAGCACTGACTGAGCACCTCCCTGTTCCAGGCATTCAGTTGGGTGCACTGGGGTGGCAAGGAGGGATGAGAGATGGCCTCTACCTCTGCCTAGGGGCAGTATGGGGTCATGCTTATGACATGGCCTTGGATTCCAGGCAGACCCTATCTTTACTAGCTGCGTGAATTTGTCCTTATTTGTAAAATAATAGAATAATAGTACCATCTCAAAGCATTGTTTGTTGAACAAATGAGACAAGCCCTTTAAAACACTTACCAGGAAACCTGGCAGATAGGACAATCTTCAATAAATATTAGCTACACTGATTACCCATAAAAGAAACTCACAATCTATGGCAAAAAAGACACAGGCAAACAAGTCAGATCATCGGGGTGGCATCTGACTGAAGGTCTCAAAGGAGGCTTTGTAAAGAGAACATTTTAGTTAAAAACTAAATAATGATTTTTTTTGCAGAGTCAAAAAAGAAAAACACTCACCCTTGTGCAATTCTACTATCCTTTGGTTAGTGCCATGAATAAGAGAAAGAATATGAGTTTTATTTTTAATAAATCTCAAGTCTTATACCAACACTTGGGGAGCATACTGCATTCAACTACTTAATTAGATATAGTCTGTCAACATGTATGCATTAGCATAAAGGGTACATTTCTCTAAAATTGTCAAGGGAATGACACTATTATCTGTTTTCAACTTTACTTATGTAAGTGTAGTCGGTCATATTGGGCTACACTACATCCACCCAGAAGACACTGCTTGTACAGAATGGTCACCACCTTGTTCTCCCTGCTGCGCACCTTCACTTGTGCAGAGCAGGATGAAGAAAGGGAGTCTGACCACTTTTCAGAGTTTCTGGGAGGCATCAAGGAGCTCATGTACCCCAATCAATTTAGAAAGATTCATTGGACTTAACATGAGTTTATAGAGTGATGGTGGGATAAGTATTAGGAATAATTTGAATTCAACTTATGTTAGTCCATTTAGGCTGCTGTTAAAAAGATCAGTTTAACAGCAAGCTAGTTTAAACAACAATCTATTTCTGGTAGTTTTGAAGGCTGGGAAGTCTAACCTCTAGGTAAAGGTGGATTTGGTGTCTCGTGAGAGCCCACCTCTTGGTGTACAGACAACCACCCTCTGTGTTGTCACATGGCAGGAAGGGCAAGGGAGTTCTCTGGAGTCTCCTTGTATAAAGGCATCATTACTCCAATTTAGGAGGCCTCCAGCCTGTGATCTAATCGCCTCCCAAAGGCTCCACTTCCAAATACCATGACATGAGGGATTAGGTTTCAACATATGAATTTGGGGGAGGACACAACACTCCATCTATAGCAGGTGTCCAACCTGGTTCAGGTGTCCAGCCATGAAACAATCAATTAAAACCAGACAGTTGAGATCGTGCAGCTGTAGAGAGCTCCACAATTTCCAATGGTATCACGAAGCTGATAAGTGACAGTGGCAGAATCCTTAACCACATCTGTCTAATCAGTAACCCATATACTTTCCACTACTCTACAAATATAGAGCAAGGCATAACAGAGTTGGAGTAAGACATTCTGCTATCTATCCAAAAAGCCCCCACCATTTTAGAAGCGTCAGAAAGAACACTCCTGACAAGGAACTCCAAAATTATCCATTCCAAATTTCTTGTTTTATAGGCCAAATGTCATGGCAAAGCAATGTGGCTAATATTTACTTAAAATATACTTGGAAAACAAAAAAGATCTAACTCTTCTCATGGGTGCATAAATAATCTAATAGCTTTTGAATATCATGGGGTTGAGGCAGGGTAAGGAGAGAGGTTAATAGTAGGCAAACATTTAAGCTGCTAAATCAATATGTTTGATCTACCCAAAACCAACACCATAAATTGTTCTTGGCAGTTTTTTTTTCTGAGCACCAAACTGAAATAATCTGAATGCTTAAGTGAAATATTATGGGTCAGCTTGATGAAGAGGTATGCAAATGATCATTTTTGTGATGCTGCAGAAATAAAAATATTATATAATGATTGTAAAGTAATGCAAATGACATGAACTCCACTGTGTTTGTAATATAGAAATATGTACCAGGGAAGGATGAATGGACAGAAAAGTGGTTCTCACAGGCTGATCTGATCAGAAATTCGTATCTGGGCAGGTGGTGGTGAACAGTTATGCCCAGGCATATAACTCCTTTAGTAAAAGAACTATCTTTACCCTCGCTGGTTTGGCTCACTGGACAGAGTGTCGGACTACAGACTGAAGGGTCCCAGGTTCGATTCCGGTCAAGGGCATGTACGTTGGTTGCAGGCACATCCCCAGTCGGGGATGTGCAGGAGGCAGCTGATCGATGTTTCTCTCTCATCGATGTTTCTAACTCTCTATCCCTCTCCCTTCCTCTCTGTAAAAAATCAATAAAATATATTTTTTAAAAAAGAACTATCTTTGCCTTAAGCAAGCCTTGTCCATTGTTTCTGGGCATCTGAGTTAACACTCCTTTGAAATTCGTCTTTTAAGGCACCTCTTTCTAAAGTATCACACCCTCAAGAGAACATACAATCTTATTCACTATCTTGTCCTTCAGTCCATTCCTTGCTGAATGTGATGTTCCTTATGTTTTCTTCTCTTTTTAAAAAAATTGTTTTTATTGATTCAGACAGGAAGGAAGAGAGACAGAGACAGAAAGGGAGAGAAGCATCAATAATGAGAGAGAATCATCGATCGGATGCCTCCTGCACACCCCCCCACAACCGCCACTGGGGATCGAGCCCACAATGTGGGCATGTGACCTCCTGCTTCATGGGTCGATGCTCAGCCACTGAGCCACACAGGCTGAGCCTTACATTCTCTTAATTCCAAATGCATAAAGGAAGCTGCAAACTGCCATTTTTCAGAAGCATTTTTCTCAGTCTGTTGAGATCTTACTTCCAGGTATATCCTGTTTGACTTAAATAAATTATTATAAAAATTGCCTACAGTTTTGGATATTCACACATCAACAGATTTTTAGGTAACCTTAAAATATTCTGAGCGGGCAGAAATGTGGAACAGACTGGTCACACATCCACATGTGGTGGTTAAGAATAGGGAGGAACACGTTGGCCACGGAGATCCCCACTGAAGAGTGAGGAGTTTCAGCTCCAAAACCTGCAGCTCCTGTGCTGAGAAGAGAAATCCCCACTGCAGCTGGCTGTGAAAATCAGCAGGGACTCACTCTTGGTGAGACGGAGGGCTGCTGTAAACCCAGGCATCCTCTTAAAGGGCCCATCAAAGCCTCACTTGCTCATAGCACTTACTCTAAGCTCCAGAGAAGGGACAGCAACTCAAAGAGTCTCAGGGACATATGGGGAGAAACTGATTTTCTGACTTCAAGGTGAGAGCTGGAGGGGCAGCAATCTTAGAGACTAAAGTTCTGGCAGGTGCCATAGTTCCTTTGTTGATCCCTTTACCCCCATAGTCTGCAGGCAGGTGCCAAAACTGAGTCTTCATCAACTTGGCTAATACTGCTCTTACCCCACCCTGGTGATGCTCTGAGAGCCAGTATCATCTAATGCACACGCCTGGCCCAAAACCTATTTCAGAGGATAATCCACACAAGCAGCTGGCCTTGGTCCATGCTATGGGCTTTCTTTGTTTCTCAAAGGTCCACAAACCCAAGAATGCCTTCAGATGCCCTGTACTTCTTGCTAAGTGGTCCAAAGTTCAGCACTTGTGGCAACTGGCCATAGTTCACAGCATAACATGTCCAGTTGTCCCTAGGTCCAGCACAGGCAGCTACCAACCACAGATCACTTTGTAGTTCCCATCACGCAGTCCTAGGTCAGACAAGGGCAGCAGCTTATCTTTGCCTGAGCCAGAGTCTCTCTCAAGAATCCCCAGAACCAACACACCTGGCAGCCAGCTTCAGACCACACCAGAGCACCACCTAGGTAATGCTGCTAATGACATACTCAAAGGGTGGACTTGGCAGGCACCACATCCCCACCAAAGTGAATTCCACTCTGTGGGGTCAGTCCCCACATAACAGCTTGTCCACTGTAGTCAGGGCCAGTCCTCACAGCCAGTCAGCCCAAGAGTCAATCCCACCAACTAATCTGCCAATAGCAATCAAGGCTCAACTACAAGAAGAGAGTACACACAGTCACACAAGGGGCACCCTGGAACACCTGGCTCAGTTGAACAGGGAGACTGTGCCACTCAACCTCACAGGATACATTCCATATAAGGTGCCATGACTAGAGATGTAGTCGATCTACCTAATACATAAAAGCAAACACATGGAGGTTGCCAAAATGAGGACACAAAGACACATGTCCCGAATGAAAGAACAGGATAAAGCTCCAGAAATAAAACTAAATGCAATGGAGGCAAGAAATCTACCAGATGAAGAGTTCAAAAACGCTGGTTTAGGAGTGAGAATAGGTGATGAGTTTAGGAGAAGAATAGATGATGTCAGTGAGAACTTCAACAAAGAGATAGGAAACATAAAAAGGAGATAGAGCCCAGCCAGGGTGCCTCATTGGTTGAGCATAGACCTATGAGCCAGGAGGTCATAGTTTGTTTGCCAGTCATGGCATATGCCCAGGTTTTGGGCTCACTCTCTAGTAGGGGTGTGCAGGAGGCAGCCAGTTGATGATTCCCT